GGTGGTTACGATAAATATTCCCAAAGTTGCTCAACTGGGCAACAGAATGCCCTTCAATGCCCCATGTAACTCTGATAATTTCAACATCTTACTTCTAATGCAGCTCAGAATGCAATTTAGCATTGCGGATAGAGATCTATTGAAGTCTACCCTGAGGCAAAGAGACTTTTTTTTGTTTGACGTATTTAACAGTCTGCAGTAAAAATTAGATCTTTATCAGTCACTGCTAAAACTTATTTTGGATTTTAGTCTTCAGAGGGAAGAACAGTGTTTAGGGCTAAAAGACTTTCTTTGTACAATCAGCATTGAGGATTCTCAGCTTTTTCCATGTCTTTAGTGTGTTGTTGAAGTGTGATTACTTCAGGATATATTGTCCACTATCTTGAAGCTTTATCAGCTGTGGCGGAACTCAAATCTCAGGCTGGATAAGGATCTCTATTTATAGTTAACTGTATTGCTGCGGAGACGTGCACAAAACTCCAGCCGGTCAATGGTTTACTTTTACTTCTCTGTATAGCTGTTCATGATACTGGAGTAGTGAGGTTTTGCATTAATACCACAGAATGTCAGCAGTCACGTCAACAATGCGCAAGTCTTTTTTTCATTATAACATAGTCCAAATAATCATTTGTCTTTTCTTGACAAGGAAACATTTCAATTAATGAAGTAGTTAAATATAATATTGAAATGGGTCATTTGAAATTAATTTGAATAGTTTTTTTTCACTTGGTAGGACAATAATGGCAGAGTAGAAGTTAATTGACTCAGAATACACAACAACTTACATAGAAATCTTAACAATCAGATTTTTTACACTAATTTACACCGTATGTTTATATATTCCCCCAGTTTAGCAGACCAGCAATAAAACACTGTATCCCAATTTCACAACTTTATGAAATACTGTATATTCCTCTTCACAGTAGAACCTGTGATAATCAGAATCATGACATGCACATTGACGCTGCTAGGGTTATTCTGGACCTAATTTTCAATTCTATCCCTTCTTTGAGTTATGATGACAATACTCATAACATACCAACAAGAATAAAAAAATTGATTTTCTCAATCCTGAGCAACCACAAAAAGTCCAAACATTGAAGTAATGCCAAAAGAATTAATACGTGAACAACCCAGGGGACTACATTGTTTTGATGTCAACCACATGAAATTGAAATGGTATCTCAGACTGTGATGCTGCTCCTCAATAATTATGGAATAAAATCTTTAACTGAAAATGCTGGGAAAACTCCATATTCAACTTGAAATATCAACTTGGTTTCTCTCCCCACAGCTGCTACCAGACCTGCTGAGCATTTTCAGATCTTGCTGTGTTTTCAGGTCATATTTCCAGCATCCACATTATTTTGCTTCAAAAATCTTTCTCTCTGTTGCACCTTAATATGCTGAATTATAACAGTCTCAATTAGTTGCAGTGGGGTGGCAAAGCAATAAATTTTATCGACTTGAACTAGTCCATTGGTCTGGAAATTGAGTTCAATGCTCAGCACAGTAGCTCAGAAGTATGAACCCAGTTTAGAAAGGTAATCTGGAAATAAAAATCTGGCATCAGTAAAAGTGATCATAAAGCTATTAAATTATTGAAAATATCCAGCTAATATCTCTTAAGGGACTTGAACTTACCATCCTTTTTTGATTTAGCCAAGACCATTCCACATCATCACAGTTCACTTTCAAGTGACTATCAAGCTACCCACCATCACATTCTCAGTACAACTCCGGGTGGACAATAAATACTTGTCTTGATTTTAATTGACTGAAAAGTGATTACGGGACTGCAGAATGGTTACAGTCCACCAAATTACTGCCAGTGAACTGAAGACGGAAAAGGCAGAGTGAGCAGAGAGAACTCATTTGGGCTGTTTCTCAAAAAGAGAGGTATGGTTATGTTCACTCAGTTGGCTGACACTTACAGCTTGGCTCAGCTGCTTATAGTCTCATGTTCTAGTCAGTAGGCTGTGGGTTTTTCTCCCTGTCCAGGAGTTGAGCCCTTAATCCAAAGTGAAATTTGAATACAGTAGGAAGGAGGTGATTCCCCCACCCCACCCCTCCATGAATTGTCACTTTGAGATGATGGAGAGACTTGTGCACCCTGATTGATGTTGTTGTGAGCCCCTAGTTTCTGGTAGGACTACCCTTGGCAGCAGAGTCAGGGGCTGGCGCACAGTCCTTTGCCCAAAAACAAGCAAACATTGTGGCATAGACGGGAGAAATACATTGGCAAGGTGATTATCAGGGTTTCATATGTCCCTAAAATCAGACCACCAACCCATCAAGGTCATGCGAACCATGATGGGTTCCCAAGGTCCTTTACATTGAGCAAAGTCATGTGCAAGCTTTCACCAGAGAGATAAAGGAGGGCTTGTGGTGTAAAGAGAATGCCCCAAATCCAAGAATTTGCTGATGATCATGGCAAAGTTTTTTTGTAGCCATCAGGACCATCTTTGAGCAGGATAGTATTGCTCTTCCTGTAGATGGCAATGGCCTTCTTCAACACTGGAAATAACACTTTCAACATCTCTTCAACCAAGCTACCTATCCCCATTACCTTGCGCTTTAATCTGTTACTGAATCACCATCAATGGGAAAACTGCAATAAGCAATTAACCAGATGAAGAACAACAAAGCCTGCAGCCCTGATGTATTCAAGCCGAGGTCTTCAAAGATAGTGAACTTCTGCTCACATTCAGATTCCACACATTACTACTACAGATGTCGGAGGGAGAAGAACACCCCTCCCGACTTCAGAAACACAACAATAACAACTACCTTCAAGAAGGAAGATAAATCATTCTGTGGAAACAATCAAATTATTTCCCTCTTCTCTACACCAGGGAAAATCCTGACACACATTCTCCTGAATCACCTCCTTCCTGTGACTGAGGAAATCCTGCCAGAGATGTAGTGTGGCTTCAGATCTTCCAGAGGAACCTCTGGCTTTTGTTGTTAGACAAATCCAACAGAAATATTGAGAACACTGCCAGGAACTCTTTACAGTATTCATCAATATGACTAAAACATTTGACCAAGTACAGGTACAACCTACTTGTCGCCAACTATTCATTTCCACAATGATCGACTGTCCACTGGCTAGATGTCAGCGAGACAGAAAATGTTTTAACCTCAGTCACCTCTGTGTGAAAAAGCTGACCAGCAATGACAACGTGACCTACAGTTTGCAGATCACTGTTGCGTCCTTGCTCATCCACAGCAGAGTTTCAAGCCAACCTCAATCTCTCCAATTCTCTAGGCAATAAACTCGGCCTGGTTTTGAATTTTTTCTTCTTTTCTCATGTAACAGGGGTGTTACTGGCTGGGCCAGCATTTATTGACCATCCCTAATTGCCCCTGAGAAGGCATCAGTGAGCTGCCTTCTTGAACCGTTGCTGTCCGTGTGCTGTGGGTTGACCCACAATGCCTTTGGGGAGGGAATTCCAGGATTTTGACCCAGCGACAGAGAAGGAACGGCGGTATATTTCCAAGTCAGGATGATGAGTGGCTTTGAGGGCAACTTGTGGGTGGTGGTGTTCTCAGGTATCTGCAGCCCACACAATGTTACCAACAGAAAACTCACATCAACACACTCCTGGTTAGTCAAATATTCAATTTGGGAATATGGTGAGCACTTCCTCTGTCTTGCCTGTCTCAGAACTCAACCATGGACAATGAAATGCCACAGTGGACTAGATGTACTTTGATAAACTACTGCAGTGTATTTGACAACAATGACTTCAGCAAGTCAACAAAAGTCATAGTATACGGACAGTTGTCATCATCACACTCATGTACTGCCGTGAAAACTAGATTGCATATCAGCGAGCGATAAGAGTGCTGGTGAAGTGCCACCAGCAATATTATCACCACATTCTCCAGATTCAATGGAAGGATCAAATGCTTGATCCTTCTTGAATCTAGCTCCATTCAGGCAAAACTCTTGTAAAATCAACAATGATGGACTGGTTAGTGAGTCTGCCTAGTCAAAAGGTTTCTTCCCCCGCTGAGTCGTCCTTTTTGAATTCTCAAATGGACTGTGTTCCAGTGGGAAAATGAAGAAAACACATCAATGATTCTCTGCAGCTCTCCTTGATGGTGGCAGCGTTGCCATTAATGACGGGAAAGAGATTGCCAACAATCTTTCAAAATGGTGACTTGTTCATCAAACTACCTCACGTTTGGAGTCACAGCATCTTAACGATAGGGCAGAGCGGTGTCACAGAGCAACTCCTGCACTCTAGATCCCAATGCCTTGTGGGAAATCTTGGCCCACATTTCCAAAGATCTGCAGGTTGAGAATTGGCCTATGTAGTCTATTTAGTAAACTCATGACTAGGTGTAATCCTCGAATCAAAGGACAGTCACTGCTGCTGCCAATGAAGGAAGTGTTAAGTTGGTACATCCTTTGGATGAGCTATTAAAATAAGGCTCAAACTGTTTCCTCTGCAGACTAAGGAAGATCCAAATATTCAACATTCAAAAGAGACAATCAGGGAGTTCTTCAGCTGCCCTTTTGCCTCTGAGGTGCTCTTTCTCTGCTAACATCAATATGACAGAAGCATTTTCATATTCCACTACAGATAGAGTGAACTTCACAAAGAGGTACCGACTCCAAACTTTGTAATTGTTTGAAACAATTACCATTTCATAATGATTTGTTTGAAAACAATCCAAATTGATTAAAACTATTACCTTGAATCTTTCTGCACAATAAAGTGGTCCTGAAATTCCCATGAAAGCTTTCAACATCCAAGATGATAGAACCAGAATTTTTAAACTATTTTAAGGTACATTTTGGTAATAACTCTTTACTTCACATAGCATTTCAGTCGAGACTACCCTTCATTTAATTACATCTAATTCAAGGGTTTACAGGTGGCAAGAGTTTATTCAACTGAAAGGATCTGCGAATGATCTGTTTAATGATTCACATTAGGACTTCAGATTATTTTACATGTTAACGCGTCTGTTAGAACAGCAAACAGAGGGAGGCCATGTGAATGGATTAAGCACCTGCTGACTGATATTGGAACTGTCATTTCCAAGGTATGTATTGTAGAAGTGCGATCAGTTTTAAATTAGGCCACTTTTCTTCAGCAAATGTTCCTTGTTAATGTTCTCATATGAGAAATCTGATGGATTCTTGGTTTGCAGAAAGGAAGTGTGAACAACTCTTGTAAATTAAGTTGACTGAATGTTCTTTGCTGTAGATCAAAATGACAGAATTCTCAGTCTTAAAAATGAAACCCATACATGGCCCACCAATGAGGTAATGTTCCTACAATATACATGTATGTAACACAGTGTAACAAGATACTGACAATTTAAAGAATTTTAGGGTGAATTCGAGACCTATCCGTATTCTTATCTCTGGAGTATAAGAAATTGTAGCTGCACAAGTCTTGCCAAAATATATGTTTAAACTTGTTAAATTCTTCCTTGATTGTCTGACATCTGGACCCCATTCCAGGTCCCATGGGTTTGATATTGTTCCTTTCATGTCATGTTTGGTCTCCAGAGGCTGGTTTTCAAATCAAGTGGTGTTCATGGACACAGAAAGCCTGAAGGTGATGTACTACCAGAAATAGAGCAACCTTGTTTGAACTAGTCTCCGTGTTAGGGATTAGCTTTACTAAACTGTGGCTGCTAGTTCTATGCTTACAAACAAAACTGTCTTGCGTTGGCTAATACAGAGGACCAAAAGGTCAGAAAATCAGAATTGTCTTTTCCCATTTTGTCTTGCGAGAACTGTTCAAGTCTCAATTATTGCAGGTTTCTTCATTTGTTTATAAAAGGAGATTCTACCTGAGTTCTCATAGTGCAATATATATGATCAGCATTAACTGCCACATTTAATGAACAAGAAGGAGCTGAGAATCAAACCAGCTAGCAACTTCCTGGGGTTGGTTGCATGGGGGCATCAATTCAGATGAATGTGCAGACTTCACCATGGTTAAAAATGTTCATGGGATGTGGGCATTGTTGGCCAAGCCAGCATTTATAGCTCATCCCTAATTGCCCAGAGAGCAGTTAAGAATTGTCCACATTGCTGTGTGTCACATGTAGGCCGGATCAGAGAATGATGGCAGATTTCTTTCCCCAAAGGAAATTTGCGAACTAGATGAGTTTTTACAACAGTGATTACACAGTCGCTATTAGGCCAGCTCTTTATTCCAGATTTTATTGAATTGAAATTTTGCCAACTGCCATTGTGGGATTCGAACCAATTGTCCCGAGCATTAGCCTGGAGTTCAGGATTGCTAGTCCGGTGACATTACAATGACTCCACATCCTCCCCTTTGAGCGTGACATTGACATGAAACTTCAAAAAAAATCTTTAATGACTGGCTAGACATGGCTTCCAACAAAAATGTAGAGCCTTTATCATCAAAGAAGTTTCACAGGAATGATTATCAAAGGAACCCTGACACCACCTAAGGAGGTATTAATATAGGTGACGAAATGCTTGGCCAAGGATGATAAGGGGCATGTTAACAAAAAAAATAGAGAGAGGTGGAGAGGATTTGGGAGGGAATTCCACAGTTTAGGGCCAAGGCAGATAAAGACACAACTACCTGTGGTGAAGAAAACTAAGGATGCACAAGAGGGGAGAACTGAAGGGGAACTAAATGCATTTGTCACGCTTAATCAGAGCCCCTTCTTACATTCTTACATAATCAATCTCCTCATTCCTTTCTAATTAGTTTATTCCAAAAATATTGGCAAAATCCAACGCATAAACACATGATCTGATGAGAGAGACTGAGTTAGTTAAGTATGGCATCAACTGAAAAGACTTTGCTGCAGTTCCCATGGATTTAGAGTTAGGACTGAAGGTGAGTTAGGATTTATGATTAACATTTTCAGTTGAATATTAAAGTCACAACAATTACTGATTACCTTACAGGATAATGATTTGCATGATAGATGTTTGTTGCATATGCAAGTTTAAATATGACTGACCTTCACAAATGGAAAGAATCAAATTTAACGATGGTTTTGTGAGCAGGGGAGTGCCGAGGAGGTAACCATTGCAGATTATGGGAACAGGGGATCGTTTACCAATTGTACAAAAATTTATAGGGACATACATATATTGACGACAAGCAGCCTGAGCTCACAAGCACCTCTCTCGACTACCTTCCTCTACTGAATTATTAGACTGCTTGTCTGACAACCAGAACTGGACAAAAAGGAATTTCCAACAATCAAATATTGTGAAGCTGTTGGGCAGAGTTTTCCCATTTTCAGGTCAGTGTTTTGTCGAATAGGATTCATCATGCCCAGTCCGCCATGGCTTGAAGCAAATCTTCCAAACAACCTTCCACTCCTCACCCCAATTATTATGCAACATGGTACCTTTCCTGGGAATCACGAGGCTGGACAGCCAGAAGTGTTCACCGCTGCTCGGATCTTACTGGCTTTCAGGCCTCTGCTGCCATAGTTACAACCCCAGCTTCAGAAACAGCAAGGCAGGAACTGAGCCTCTCGCTGTGTTGCTCAAACATCACACAGGGCATGGCCCAGAGCTCAGGGAAGCTCAGTCCCTGCTTGGTGGACAAGGACCAAAGTGTGCTGGTGGATGGGGTGGGGAAGGGGGGTGCTCTCCTGTTTCCAGCCAACTGCCATGGGAGGCCACACCACAAGTCACAGCCAGACTAGACCCAAAATGTAAATACCTGGCACTTTTAAAAGAAATTCCTTCATGAGACGTAGGCATCGTTGTCCAGGCCAGCATTTCTCACCCATTCCAATTGCCCAGAGGTCAGTGAAAAGTGAATCACATTGCTGTGTGTTTGGAATCAGCTGTAGGCCACACTGGATAAAGATTAAAGATTTCCTTCCCTGAAAGGCCATTAGTGAGCCGGGTAGGTTTTTATAACAATCAACAGCAGCCACATGGTCATCATTAAACCAACTTCTTACTCCAGATTTTATTGAATTCATACTTCATCATCTACCATGGTAGGATTTGAACCCATGAACCCAGAACATTGGCCTCCCCTGGTGATATTACCACTAGCGGTGTGGAGAGAGATTTGGTCCAAGAGCAGACATGGTAAGGATGGTGGTTTGTCAATGCCAATTTGCCCGTAAGAAGAGTTGGTTAGATGGCGAGCATGGACCATGAAGGAGTGTTGTGGTGAAGCCACAGTTGGATGGTGACCCCCAGCAGCATTGGAAAGCTGCCACTCCAACTTATATCTCAGTGCCCTCCAGTTTCTTGGTGAAGGACAGGAGAATTGGAGGTTGGTGTATAAATAAAACAAGGTAGGATGTTAATGTGATACAAATGCAAGGAAATTAGCTTGGTTCATTTTTTTATTTATTTTTATCCCTTTGTGTAACAAAATTCTGTTTTATTAATAGAGAGAAGCTGCAGCTTTGAGTGCCTATCTTTCAGGGGATGTTTCGCCATTAAATAAAAAAAATCAAGCAGATTTTATTCTGGGATCTGATGTATCCGGTAGCAAGATCAGCTGGGATCATAGCTAGCAGCATTCGAGAAGAATGAGCTCTTATTCCTTCACCCAGAAATTGGTGACACTGTGGAATTCTCTGCTACAGGAAGCTGTTGAGGCCAATACACTTAATGTTTTCAAGAAGGGAGTCAGATACAGTTCTTAGTATTAGAGGGATCAAAGGGTATTGTGTGAAAGCAGGAACAGGGTACTAGGTTGGATGATCAGCCATGATCATAATGAATAGGAGAGCAGGCTCGAAGGGCTGGATGGCCTACTCCTGTTCCTATTTTCTATGTTGCTATTTAGGCTGTTGCCTAATGTTATAAGGGGTGTCTTTGTGATAATTTTGTGGCTAATATTTACATTTTCACACATCTTCTATCTCAAAGTCCACACTGTAAAAGAATACAGCCGCCATAAATCATAAAAATGGAGTCCATTCAACTGTGGATAATTGTGCTTAGACATTAGGCCTGCGCTGTCAAGGGAAGGACTGGTGTGGAAACCTAATTCACCTGCTTCATGCAAGTCCCTTATTCATATATCATTAGCTCAAAAAAAGCCTGCACATTTGAATGATCTTTTCTGCTTGTTTAGCTCCAATATGTGATCTTTTCTAACACGGGAGTCTGGAGAATTTTAGCTTCGTAGGTCAAATTTATTGGACTTTTCTAACTCTGGCAGGTAACTTTAATTCAGGACTTAAAGGAGCCACAACTCATGCTCCCTTCAGACAAGAATTAAAAATTAGTTGTGTCTTCTAAAATTAAAGGATGTCAAGTAACAAACAAATCAAATAACAACTTTTTAATCATGCCGTTAATTCCCAAAAGAGCACTTTTGTTGACATATTTGCAACGTACGTTTGTTTGAAACAAAATACCTTTTGTTTACCCCTTTCTTTCACAGTTATCCAGTCTTCACCATTGGAGCTCACATCCACTTTGTACGCTTTGATAAAGTACTCCCGCTGAGTTTCTCTGGAGACAGCACCTTGCGTTGCTATGGCAGAAACGTGCTGCAAGAAACCCAGGTCCACCTGCAGCATTGAAATGCAGTCAGTCAGAGCTTGTTAGAGAGATTAATGTAATGTGTTACATCACACAACAGTACTAGTCATCTGGTGAAGAAACATATTAATAAGGTGCCAGTTCTCATTAATGTTTCAAGTGAAATTTTAAATATTAAAACAGAACTGGCTGGCGGTTCAGAAATAAGAATTCATTCTTTATGTATGCTTGCTGCAGCATGTGTACAACGGTCAAATATGCAGAGAGCTGCTGTGCAAAGTCGTTTATGTTTCTGTAATGGTATGGTTTATTCACTGGAACCCCAGGTTTATTTATTTGTGAATTCACAGTTCCCTTGTTTGTCAATTCTGAGGGTGCTCCAAGAATTTTTTTTGAATGGACATCAATGTCCCGTGGGTTAAGCCTTCTCCCAAATATATAAGCAAGGTGGTCATTTGAGATTTTCAGCCAGTGAGAAGCTCCCGTCTTAACCTGTTGTCTTGCTCATCTATCGATGCACGAAGCTCATGAACTCAAAAGGAAAGGCACATTCCAAAAATTTAGCTAGAAATCCTACTATTAAAGTAATTTCGTTTCATGTCTGTCTTGTTTAAATTAAAAGACTTATTTAAGCAGATGAGCAAATAAGCTCCATAATAACAACAGCTACAGAGAAGCCTAGTTCTAATCAGCTCTCCCCTTGAGTTAGGGGAAGAACAATAAAGTGGATCGTGGCCATAGGGAACTCAAGAAAAGGGCATGGGAAACAAAAATGTGACTTTCATATTACAATGTAGCTATAAGTGCACCAACGTATTTACAGAGGTGCACTGTAAAGTTTTTATTTGCTTTCAGTCACTGTTGTAAACTTCATTTGCCTTTCACATAGCTGAGACATATGATTCAACATAAAGTTTCAATTAAAATAGTGTTAGGAAAATGCAGATTGAATTTGGCCTGTGAAGGAGTTTAGTGGGAGTCTTCGCTTATAGCTAAGTTGTACAAGTCACACATCTGGTCATCATTTGAATTCACATACAAGGGAAATGAAACATAAATGCTACTGATTCCTTTCCTTTACAGGGTTCAAGTTGCGACATACAGTTGACCAACTGGATTGCAAAAGGGCACGCAGCCCAAACAACAAATGCAAAAGGATGCAAGGTTTTCTTTGGATCTCAACTTTTGTAAAGCAGGGGAACAGAAATGTAAGTGTAGTACAATAGGAACTAATAAAGATATTTATGGTTAAGTCAAGTGGATAATCCATCACTTTGACACAGTAGATACTGCGGCAAAAGCTTTTTTATATAGTGGCGCCACACGGCAGTTAACTTTTATGTAGTCACTCAGGTATGAGCAGGGCTCCGTTTTGTATTTTGATTTTTGGAAGAGTTCTTTCTTGCATGCCGAATTTTCTTGGTGTGGTTTGACTTTAGTGCTTTCACCTGTTCAAAAGCAGGTCACAAAATTAAAATCAGGAAGTTCATACAAGACAATTAAATTGAAGAAGGAATGTACTCCTTCCAGTATTGTCTGAGTCACCGAGATTGTGTTGTTAACTGTTAACAACTGCAGCCAAATATACAACTGCATTATTTTTTCAGCTGGGTGGGTGGATGAATAGGTCACAGGTTCCTCTTTGACTCCTGACCCGTTTTTGCCAATCCAAAATGCAACAAATTGGAGTTGCATTTACAAAACAATTTGTCCTCAAGGCCTCTTTCTATTTATTGACCAAATTATGAAGAACATAGTGAACAGCCAGTGGGTGGATGAAAGTGGAGTTAACACCTCAGCAGGGAATCACTGACAGCGTTTGCTCTGCTTGAAGTCTCTAATGATGCACTGACGTCTTGGAAACCATGACATCTTTTTGTTTCAAAGCATGCGCTGTATCTTTTGCACTATTTGCAACGTGGTATTTCAATCTCTATTTGTGACCTTTGAAAAAGGTATTTTTCTTTTGATCTTGTGAAGTAAGATCTTGCCATCTGAGCTGAATTTCAAGACCGTACCTCCATATTCTTGGGTGGCTAGTGACGGACCATCACAAGGAATTGTGACAAATCCTTGTGCCAATGCTGCTACCAACCTAGGGAATTCCAGGGACGAGATCTGATGATATTGAAGGACTGGCAATTATGTGTTCGAGACATGATGGTGTTTTTATAGAGAGGGATATGCAGCTGATGTGTTCCCAGGAGCCTGACTCCCTTGCTCCTTTCAATGATAGATGGCTTGGGACTGGGAGATGCTGTGGAACTAATCTTTGCGAATCGTTATATGACATTCTGTAGATAGTACAGCTGCAGTATGTTGATCATGAAGTGAGTGGAGTTGAAATATAAACACTGAAAAGTGATCAATATATGTGGGCTTTGCTGATGAGCGTCTCTTGATTTCTAGTCCACTAAGCTATTGCCTCCCCTGATATATTGACCCTGGGTGCGTATCATATGGCACAGGCCGGGAAAAGGTAGAGATTCAGCAGCAAGGACAGGGGGTGGCGTTCAGTGAAAGCCCCTGCCTCAAAGCACCCCTACCATCTTCCTGGTGCCAGGCCCCTCGATCAGGCAATGATTCAAAGCAACAGCTGTGGAAAAAAAAACAGAACTTCTACTACCAAGGGAGCAGCTACAATTTGGAATGCACTGCCTGAAAACAGATTCAGTGATAACTTTCAAATGGTAGTTGACTATATATGTGGAAAAGAAACAATAGCTGAGGGGAAAAGACATATGGGCTGAATGGACTCTAATGATGAATGATTCTTTGAATCTGTTTTTCTGGGGTCTTTTAATCTAGTTGTAATCATTTATTTCCCTCTCAATTCCTCTCAATTCCTTCAACCAAAGAAGTGCTTCCCAAACAGTGGCATTTCAATGATGCATTGTACTGTCGAATAGCCCAGTCAAGCCAAAGGAAGTCCGAAGTTCTGCATCGATCTCAAAGGGCTGGGATTACTACAGCTTTCCGGGTTTTTTGTACTGAAACTTAAACTGATTTAATATGAAATAAAATTTTACCTGTATAATTTCTGTGCTACTAGGAAGTCAAAAACCTCTCCATTATTATGATGTTTTTGAAACATTGAAAATGCAATACAAGTCATCTATCGCATGGTGATGTGTTACAATATGGGCTCATATCTGTGATCCTTCACACTTAGAAAGAGCACCATCGTCTACGAGAATGAAGTCTCTGACTTCGGTTACAAAAGATGGACATCAGCAAGTGCTGAATCAACAGACAGGTCTTCCCGGGACTCAACCCAAGGAAAGTGACGGGCCTGGACGATGTCCCCAGCCAAGCACTCAGATCCTGTGCAGACCAACTAGCAGAGGTATTCACTGACATCTTCAACCTCTCCCTCCTACAAGCTAAAGTCCTCACCTGCTTTAAGAAGACCACCATCATCCCCGTATCTAAGAAAGCACATGCAATGTGCCTTAATGACTACCGCCCAGTGGCTCTGACCTCAATAATATGAAGTGCTTCAAGAGGTTGGTCATGGCCCACATCAACTCCTCTTTTCCAGCCTGCCTCGATTCGCCACAATTTGCCTACCGACGTAATAGGTCTATAGCGGATGCCATATCCCCAGCCCTGCAGTCATCCCTGAAACATCTAGACATCGAAGACACCTGCGTCAGACTCCTGCTCTTTGACTACAATTCCGCCTTCAACACCATTCTCCCCTCCAGACTGATCTCAAAACTGCATGACCTTGGTCTAGGCTCTGCCCTCTGCAGCTGGATCCTCAGCTTTCTGGCCCATAGGCCACAATCAGTGAGGATAGGTAACTGCACCTCCTCCACAATAACACTCAACACTGGAGCACCTTGAGATGCGTCCTCAGCCCCCTACTGTACTCCCTGTACACCCATGACTGTGTTGCCAAATTCTGAACACCATCTACAAATTCGGTGACAACACCACCATACTGGGACGGATATCTAACAACAACGAGTCAAACTACAGAAGGGAGATAGAGGGCTTGGTGTCATGGCGCAATAAAAACAATCTGTCTCTCAATGTTGGCAAAACTAAATTGATCATGGACTTCAGAAAGAAAGGAGGAGAACACACCCCCATCTACATCAATGGAACTGAGGTTGAGAGGGTGAAGGGCATCAAGTTCCTCAGAGTGACATTACTGACAACCTGTCCTGGGCTTCCCACGTACATTTGGGAGTCAACACCTCTTCTTCCTCAGGTAGCTCAGAAAATTTGGCATATCCATAAGGTCCCTCACCAACTTCTACAGATGCACCATTGAAAGCATACTGTCTGGGTGCATAATGGCCTGGTATGGAAACTGCTCTGCCCAGGACCGTAGGAAACTACGAAAGTGGTGTGTACAGCCCAGACCATCACAGAAGCCAATCTTCCATCCATGGACTCCATTTATACAGCTCGCTGCTGCTGAAAGGTGGCCAACATCATCAAAGACCCATTGCAACCCGGTAATGACCTCCTACAACTTCTTCCGGCAGGTAGAAGATACAGAAGCCTGAACACACGTACCAGCAAGTTCAGGAACAGCTTCTTCCGGGCTGCTATCAGACTAATGAATGGACTGTCTAGCCTCAAATAACACTGATCTTGCTAACGTTGATCTTACCTAGATCATGCCCTGTGCAATGTAACCTGTATGCCTCTATCTAAGTCTTTTTGATCTGTACATCCTTTGCTTAATATGATCTGCTGGTACTGCTCGTAAACAAAGCTTTTCACTGTATTTCGGTACACGTGACAATAAATCAATCAATCAGTCTGTTCCTGTCCATTCCCAACAAGCAATTGAAAGCACATTACTGAAGGGGTGGAGACAAGGTCGCGGGTCTTTGCTTAGTGAGAAGTGTGTGTTCTTCCAAGAGTGAGGAAAAGAAGAATAAAGAGTACCTGACTCTCTAAAAGTGTTCCTTAAAGGATCAAATTCATAAACACCCACCAGAATAAACATACATACAGTCATACAACATGGAAACAGACCATTTGGTCTGTCTCATCCATGCCGACCAACTTTCCCAAATTAAACTAGTCCCACTTGCCTGCATTTGGCCCATACCCCTTTCAACCTTTCCTATTCATGTACCTGTCCAAATGTCTTTTAAATGTTGTAACTGTACCTGCAGTTACCACTCCCTCTGGCAATTCATTCGACATACAAACCACCCTCTGTGAAAAAGTTGTCCCTCAGGTCCCTTTAAAATTTAGTTTTAATCCCTAGTTTTGAACTTCCTCACCGTGGGGAAAAGACCTTGGCTATTCACCTTATCTGTGCCTGTTCATGTTTTTATAAAGCTCTATAAGGCCACCCCTCAACCTCCTATGTTCCAGTGAAAAATGTCCCAGACTATCCAGCCTCTCCCTATAACGCAAACCTTCTAGTCCCAGCAACATCCTGGTAAATCTTTTCTGACCCCTCTCCATTTAAATAATATCCTACTTATTAGAGGGCGATCAGAACTGTACACAGTACTACAATGTCCTGCACCACCTCAACATGACGTCCCAACTCCTATACTCAATAGTCTGAGCAATAAAGGTAAATGTGCTAAATACCTTCCTAACCACCCCGTCTACCTGTGATGCAACTTTCAAAGAACTATGTACCTGAACCTCTGGACCCTTCTGTTTGACAACACTACTCAGGGCCCTACCATTAGCTGTACAAGTCCTGCCCTTGTTCGCTTTATCAAAATGCAATATCTTGTATTTATCCAAATTAAACTCTATCTGACACTCCTCAGCCCATTGGCCCAATTGATCACAATCCCTTTGTAATGTTAGACAACCTTCTTCATTGTCCACTATGCCATCAATTTTGGTGTCATCTGCAAACTTACCAACCATGGTCTCCTACATTCCCATTCAACTTGTTCATATAAATGACAAACAACAGGGGACCCAGCACCAATGTCTGCATGATGCATGAAAATTGCTTGCAAAATATGAAAAGCTATAATGTGCTGTAGCTAAAAGGAATAACTGGGAAAGTTTATTTCTTCCAAAATTCCACTGTTGTAGGAAACAAGATTCATCTGGATGTCAGAATATATCAACTTGGGATTTCCTCAAACATCCAGCATCCTGCTGTCTGAAAGCATTCCAGCTGTATCAAATTCCTGCACATGTCGGGTTCACAATCCTTAAAGATATGGTGTCCCCTTTGTGCAGCCTAGTTATAGAAGCTATCGGATATCAAACTCTTAACATTGGTCTTTATCTTTCACTTATCACGAGTGGCCATTGATGTTTGAAGATGTTTGAATAAATTCTGCCAAAGAATTCCAAAGAGATCCAATCCAAAGAGCCTTTGCACGTTACCCCAAATAATTTTGCAAATGGTCTACTTCAAAAGAAAGGGATCTAAATATATTGGGGTAGCAACAGCACCTATTGCTGGGAAGAAAACTAAAGAAAAAAAGACAATTGCAGAGCAGTTAAGTTTCAGATTTTATCAGCACTGAAGGCTCTGTGAGATTGATGTGGGTAGCCTTGCAGGCATCTCAGGTGGCCATCAAAAATAGGTGTTAGGTCCAGTCTTATTCTAAGTAGAGTTCCCTCTAAATTAATTTATTACCGATGGAACAGGTACCAAAGCCTGTCCTCCTCAAAAGCTTTCCAGGGGCCCCAAATGCCAATGGAAGACATGCTTTATTTTATAGTTAACACAGTGTGGAGCTGGAGGAACACAGCAGGCCAGGCAGCACCAGAGGAGCAGGAAAGTTGACGTCTCAGGTCAGGACCCTTCTTCAGAAATGGGCTTTTAACAATATTCAAACTAAATGCTAAATTACAGCAGATAATGACCGAGTCTAAAAGCACACAGGTGCCAGGTAGGCATTAGAATTCAAAAGGAAGTTGGAAGATTTTAAACTCCTTTGTGTAAAACCTCTCTAAGATGATATCTTGACTCCACTGGCACCGTTATTACTGGAAGATCATACTGCTTCTGATCAATGCACAAACACCATTCTTCACCTCACAGCACCAGCTTACTTCTTTGAACCTCCACAGCATTGATGCATTTCTAAAAAAAAACTACTTGAAACAGAAAATTTGTCGCAGACATTTAAAGATATTCTTTATTCAAAGGTGTGGCACAGACAGGCTGATAAAAGGAAGGTGGTCTCTTTTAAGATCTTTTCAGATGAAAGGAAGTACATTGGATACACTGTTTTATATTTATTGTGTCCTTTTTTCATGTAAGTAATCAATGTTCACGAAGAGGTGTTTGAATAATTGGGAGGGTGAGGAGTTTTAGAAGATGTTTCAAGGTGATGTTACATTGTCTCTGGGTCAAAATTTTACTCTCAAACAGCATTAATGTATATATTCAGCCAACACACTACAGAAGTTCTAGAAGGTAGCCTAAGACCATCTTCCTAGGGGCACCACATGCTGGTCTTTCTTGTAATACTCACAACTATCCAAGAAAAATTTTTTCATGTATTTGCATGTGATCTGTGTGATTGCATCAGTGGGTTTATCTTCACAAATCATTAAAGGCAGCAGGGCAGACTGCTCAGAGGGGATTCTGGGCTTTAAGAATCAAGGCACAGACCACAAAAAGACAAGAAAGAAGCAAGGACGAACATTTGTGAAACACTTCAACTGTCAACATCTCACACCTGAAGACAGCCATGATGGTTTTAGAGATGGTCCCCAAAAGATTTATCAAAATGGTTCCAGGAATGAGAGGCTGAGGTTACACCACGGCTTGGAGAGGCTGGCCCTGTTCTGTTAGAGAAGATTGTGATGAGATTTGATGGAGGCATTCAAAATCACGTGATCTAAGCTGTGCAGACTGGGAGAATGGCTTCTATTGGCAGGGGCAGTAAGAACCAGGTGACACAGATTTAACGTGGTTGTCAAAAGAACAGAAGCTGGCACAGGAATACTTTTTTACCCTGATGAATAAGATGTGAAATGCAATGCCTGATACAATGATGGAGGCAAGAAATGTATTTCAAGAAAGTAGTGGATGAACATCTAACATTAAAATGTTTTGGGGAAAATGGTGGGAGGGGTGACACTGGCTGAGTTACACTTGTGGAGAGCTGGCATGAATGGGTCTGGCCCGATGACCTCCATCTGTGCTGTAACCATTATACAATTACCTGTGTATTTGTAGACAAATTTTAAAAAGAGATGACAAATAGTTTTTCATCAAGTCAGTATCCCTTTAAACAGTGTTGGTGCAGATGGTAAACTGCAGTCCCACAACTGCATGTTTTGCACATGTGAGAAACGAGAAAAGGCGTAACAAATTAAAAAGTCAGTTTAATGGAACACTGCATCCTTTTTTTTTTGCAAAGAAATGATAA